ACGATTCGTCACATAGGAACATTCGTCACAGGATGACTCGTCATACGGGCAATTGGTCACATCGATCGGGCAGGGGACGATAGTAAATTGTAAATTTCAACAACTGCCCACATTCCCTGATGAGGAGTTTCACGACTTCCCACTGTGACATAAACCAATGGTTGGAAAAACTATCCGTACAATACTCATCCGCTTTTCCTTTCATCATATTACGACTCTTCAGCAAGTTGATCTAAGTTGCTGGCTTGAACGAGCAATAATCCGACTGGCAGTCAAATCAGTTTTTACTTTGCCTTGCGTACACCTCTTCGAGAAAACCAATAAGTGTCGGAATTCTTTCTGCTGCATGTGTAGGAGTACTCCTCATGCAGCTGCATGGCTCCACCTCTCTCTGTTGCGATCACCTCCATCCTTTTGAATGTAGTCCGAGTTCAAAATTAGTCGCTTTTATATGGCCTCCCCATTCACCGTTCGGGACGGACCCAGAAGCTAAAACGTCTGTTAAACATTCTTCGACCTTGAGAAGCGGAAGACGTGCTAAGATAAGAGGTGACCCACTTTGTCACGCCGAACCAACATTCAATGTTTGGGACCGAACCAGAAGCTAAAACGTTTGTTACAAATTCTTCGCCTTTCAGAAGCCAAAGACATATTTAGATATGAGGTGAGCCACTTTGTCCGCTCAAACCAAATTGAACGATACATTTTTGGGGGGACGACCGGTTGGCCGCGTGACGAGTCATCCTATGACGAATGTTCCTGTGCGACGAATCGTCCTGTGACCAATCGTCCTGTGACCAATCGTCCTGTGACGAGTGCGCATGTGACGAATGGACCGTATCCCTATATCAACATAGTGTGTCTTTCGCATCGGATTAGCCTGGGGCGCCTCGCCGCCTTTGGAGTGCAGCTTCAGCATGCAACAGCCTCACGGGTGGTGGCAAAAGATAAGAGAGGGGGGGGGGGGGGGGGGGGGGAGGGCGGTCGGAACAGCTTTGAGTGGGGGGACGTGCCCCCAGTGGTTTAGAACCTGTGGGGGCGACTGCCCCCACTGCCCCCCCCCCCCCCCCCCCTGGTACCGGAGCCCCTGCATGTAGGCTTAATTCAACGACAGCTGACGAGCCGACTCCTTTGGACAAGCGATTGCCATTACAACTTTTGTTTCGTGCAATTAGACAGCTTTCACACAAATGTTACAAGTTATAAGCTTCCGGAACATGTTCTCCTTCTTTTGTGGGAAAACGAAGGCAAATCACTATTTGAAGATCGGTGGGATCGGTGGCCGAGTGGGCTAGCGCACACCAGCTCGGAGCACGTGGAGCGAAAGCTCGCGCTGCAAAACCCAGGCATCCTGGGTTCAATCTCCACTCCTGCCGTTTTCGATCTGGATGAACATCGTACCGGCCTGCGGTCGTGTGTCACTACTGCGTGATGCTCGTTAAAGATCCAAGGCTAGCGGGTGTACTGCACTGGCTAAATTTCTCATCTACAACTGGGAGACCAGTCGGCGGTTGAGGCAAACTAAGTTCTAGGCTGTACAAACAAATAAACAAACGCCAATTTCTCCTTTATTTTTATTTTTTTTTAAAGGGGGGGGGGGGCGTTTTTACAAGAGCTGCTCATTTGCGCAGCACCCAAAACAAATAAACGAGCCTGTCTATTCCGTCCCCATATGCTACACCCGACCCTATATGCTATTTTTCGCCAAGACTGGGAACATAATACTAGAAGAGCGTCAAGCGGCTCCCGTCGTGGGCTGCTTGACGTTCGCTCTCTCCGTTCGTTTCCCGCGAAGGCCGAGCAGGCTACGAGCCCTGCTATTCCCTGACTCTCACAGGGGAAGATAACACCAAAATGGTAAGAATCCTAAACAGGCGAATAAAGTAAAAACTAAAAAATGCCGTCGAACTCCGAATGCACAATGCAGGTGGGGAGTCGCGCTGACCGTGTTCCCACAGCTAAGGCGGGTGGCAGAAATATCTGGATGATAGGGGTCGCTCGAGTCGCAAAACGGCGGCTGCCACAGAGCTCTTTTTACAAAGGTCTATAGTGGAGACACAAAATGTCATATACCAAAGGATAGTACATAGTCAGCTCTACGAGCTCATACTGTAATTTTTATCTTGTTAATTCTTTATACTTGTACTACACTTTTCATTTCGTTTGTTAAAAAAAAAATTTATTGGTTTGTATCTTTGTACAGCCTTGGTGGAGATACGCCTAAACGGGTTATCGGTCTCCCAGCTGTAGATGAGCAATTTAACAAGTGCAGTACAACCGCTAACCTAGAGTCTTTAACTTGCATCACGCAGTAGTGGTACGCGACCGCACCCCGGTACGATGCTCATCCAGATCGAAACGGGTGGGGATTCCCAGCGCAAAGCTTTCGCTCCATTTCGTTTGTTCAATATGTCTGTTGTATTGCACTTTCTAATTTTTAACTTAGTTATGCTTATGCTGTTACACCTACATGCTTTTTTTAGTTAATTTTGCTGCTACTAGTATGCTTTTGTAATAAACTTTTGATCCTTTTTAGTATTATACATATACCACTATTTTTTGCATTTTACTTTTGAGCTTGTTGATTATACGCATCCTATAATAGTTATAAAATTATGGATATGTCATTATACTTATACTATTTCATTTCATACCTTGTTAATTCATTTACATATTTTTAATAACGTTCAAAAACGCTGTTTAAATTGATATCACCTTGGGGTCAGACACAATCTCGATCCGTCATACTGAGTCGGTAAAATAACGCTGCATTTTATCCGTGATGTTTTTTTTTTTCTCTTCTCTTTTCCCTGGTGTCTATTTTAGAGAAGATGTGAAGACGGAAAATTATGTGGTTGTTGTTGGTGAACAAAATATTAATGTGCCAGATGCCACCGAAGAATGGATCGACGTTGCGGAGGTAAAATACAAAATCACGTACCTTATAGAAAAAGTCTGGGATTCAAAGCGTTAGATCACAATCCTAAGAGTCGTTGCAGTCATTGCAGCCGCAGCAGTCCTGGGTTCAAAGTATTTTTAACAGAAAAATACTTTTTTTAATAATAAACTACACGTTGCCGAACGCTCAGTCTTTGTGCAAATCTGGCGCTAGTGGCCCGGACCAGATGCTAAAGTTTTAGATCTTGCCTTTAGCTTATTCGATCGTTATGAGCTATCTTCAGAAATTTCAGTGATAAAATGGCGGCCCACGAAGCCCACGAATAATAGAGATGACTTGTGCCTATCTCGAATACGATACTCAAGATATCGTATTTCAAATACTTTTTGAAGTATCTTGGTATCTTGCAAACACGTTTGATTGAGAGTATTTGATACTAAATTTTAATTACTTTGCTGAGTATCCTTGTATTCATTACCTGAAACACACTTTTGACATTCCTTCAATTTTCCGAGTTTTTCGGTATAAAGTGGCGTGGGCGTCGCACGAGCAAACGTGAACATTCTTTCGAGCAACCAAATCCTGTTGCTATCTACGATAAGCTACTGTGACTTACATTGAGCTCGTGAAAACATCGCTTTTTTGCCGATTGTGACTCGTATTTCACCCCAAAGTACGTACAAGGAAGGTTTTCCCCTCGCCTTTCCAAAGGCGCCTTTTGTTTCCTAGAGTTACCTCAAAACAATTCTCAAACAAAAGGGGTGGTTTTACGGAAGATTGCCACACTCAGGCACAACGCAGAACGGGGAGCGACCCGCGATAACAATGCAAACTTCAATGTCAAGATAATAACAAACAGAAGAAAATGAGAAGTAGGCATGTAAAGGAGACACTTTTTTTTTGCATGTTGTAAATTTTACCCCGCTATGCCAAAACGTTAAGGTTTATTTTTTTTATTTTTTTTATTTGGTTGTCAGCCCGGCACTTATTGCTCTCGAGAACACTGTCTGTAAGCGAACATTGATAACCAGAGAACAGGACAGGAAACGAACTGCGAGCAGGAGGACCTCTCAAAATGCCAAAAACAATCATTTCCCAACATTGAGTGCCTTTCTGAACGCAACCTACTTGAAGGAGGTGCGACCGGTGCCGTGGTTATTATGTGCGCTCTGTTCGTTATACATTCACTCATTTTCGTATCCCAAGTTCGTTTATAGTGAACTTTTCAAATAGAACATATGAATTGTAGTTAAATGATGCGTCTAAGGTGCGCCGCATTCAGCAATGTCTAGCTAAAGCGACCTTTTTTTTTTTTTTTTTTTGTTCGAGAGATGTTTTGCAACATGTGTCAGTGATATTCTGCTCCTCATAGTTGAACGAAATAAAGTAGCTCTACTGCGTTTTTTTTTCTTCCGTTTTGTGTTGTTGCGTGCTAATAAACCATTCTGGTAAACCAGATTTGCTCAACTGCATAATTGTGTATGTCACCGACGTCGACACAAATTACGCAATACGGAAGTATCGTCAAAAGTAATTGAATTACATTTCCAAATATTTGTGCTCTACTCAAGATTCTTTACAGTGGAAGTAACTTGAGTAGTATTTTAAATTCTTTATAAAACAGGTATTTAGTAACTTAAATACTTTTATTGAGTACCTTGTCCAATACTGGTTTCAGCCAATCTCTTATAACTTATGAATAACATAACGATTAGTTCTGAAACGTTCACAGTTAGTCCGGACCGCTAGCGCTGCATTCGGATGGAGATTGGACGTTTGCGATGCGCAATAGCTTTTTACAGGAAAAAACCACTGCACCTTTCTTAGGGGTGTGGGAGGGGGGTGGGGGGGGGGGGGGGGGGGGCATTATGCACTTTTGTAGGGGCCCTGGAATATTCGAAAGTTTTAAGAGACTCATTTTTATGTTTACACTCCGGCATTGTTTCCACGCACACCATAAGTTTTAAACATTTTTTTGTAGATCGGCTTAAAACATTATTTGTTCTCTCTTAAAGTCGATGTTTAAGTTTCGCATCAAAATGACATGTTTGGTTGATTTCCTCAAACCCAGATAACAATTCATCCAAAATGGGATCCAGTAATGCTCAACTACGACTACGCAATTCTCAAGCTAAATAGGTCCCTGGACTTCAACGGCACGGAGAAGGATCTTATGCCTATTTGCCTCCCAGAGGATCGCCAGTCATTCACGGGACAGATCTGCACAGCCAGCGGATGGGGAGTCACGGCGAACGGTCAGTTTTAAATTTGTGATTAGTATGAACACTTGGTTAAAACTGAAGTAGCTGAATGATATAATACTGATAACAATTAGGTAGCTTACTTTTGTCCCCATGTTGTGGCTCGTTACGTCATGCGTGGTCACATCCCTGAATTACTAAGGGCTGAGATTCCTTCAAACAGGCGTCTTAATGTTTTTCACATGAACCCCGTACCCTACAGCTAGATAAAGGAATATGAAAATATACCTAGACCTCCATAATACTCGGTATAAAACTCATTCTCTTAACTAAATTAAGGAGAGGGCGATTTCAATATTTCAAAGGCACTAATGTGTTGTCTCTGGGAATTAAACAAAATTAATTTGCGTCGGGTCTTTTTTTTTTTTTATGAACCAAATATTACGTCCATATACCCGTAAGTCTCAAAAACCTGACGCTGTAACATTCTATATATCTGTATTTTGTATAGCGTAGAAAACACGCTATCTTGTGCCAGGTTATAACGATGTTTGAACGAATTTGGTTGTAGTCAGCATTCTAAAGGCAGTTCACAAATTACTGTCAACGGGAATCCCCCATGTAGCACAGCGTGCCATTGACTATACTCCGTCTCACTAAAACCGTGCAGTACAGTCGAAGCTACAGGGGGGAGAGTGTATGGCAACCTGCTCAATAGAAAGGAAAGGAGGAACGGGAGAGAAGGGCTGAGATTCCCCCGTTTCCTTCTTTCCCTCCTCTTGAACAGGTCGGAGTACTTTCTGTCCCTTGTAGCTTTGGCTGTATTGAACGGTTTTAGTAAGACGGAGTAGAGTCAATGGCACGCTGTGCTACATGGGGGATTCCCGTTGACAGTAATTTGTAAAAGGTTAATTATTAACCTCATTACAAAGATCGGGCTCATATGCAAAAAGTAGACTAACGCCACCCAAATCATGTAGGCTAGTAGCTTCTTTTAAAGAATATTACGTCATCGCTGCCAACAAAGCAACAAATTTTGCAAACTTTCCCTCAAAGTTTTTTTTTTTTTTTTTTTTTTTTTTGTGCTGTACGTCTGACTTTTGCTTTCATGTACAACCCTTAGGTGGAACGGTACCAAACAGCAACCTGCTGAAAGTGGACATTCCCGTTATACGCCTCTCTACGTGCAAGAGAGACTACAAAGAGGTTAGCGAAGTCTACAGAGACACCATGATATGTGCAGGTTACAGGAAGGGAGGGAAATCGACCTGCCAGGTGAGAAGTGAACATTTTACGGCGACATCTGTTATACACCGTTCACCCTTAAGCTGAGACTAGAAGCTCCGCCCTCAGCGCGAGCTCGCTGGCTTCCACGATGCTTTCGTTGCGCGTGCCTGCGCGTTCACACTGAGCGTTCCACGCATGCGTGACGCCGCCATTGCTCTAGTTCGCAGGACGTATACGTGCCAATGTACGGGACAGCTTGTGTCGTCTGGTGCTCTGCTCGCGCAGACCCACAGTAAAGTTCCCGCACTTGCGTAGAGACTACAGTTACCACTATCATAGCCTCCTCTATACTCAAAAAGCCTAGCAGTTCGACAACGGAGCCATACAGTGCCCGGTCGCAGATTTGGACCGTGAGGATCTGGTAGCAAAGAGCCATTTCTCAGGGAACCTGGATGTCAGCGCACACCTTTTGCAGCGGCAAAGACCCGAAACACACTTGTTCGCTCGGGAGAATCGTTTTTCGGCGTCTCGCCGCAGCCGGGCGCCAATCACGTAGCCCTCCTTTCATCTGTTGTCTGCCGCTCTACCTTTCCATTTCGGCGGCCGGTTCTCGTGGCGATCTGCCAGGCTTTGATAGCATATAGGAGGCTATGCCACGATGCATGCCAGCAGCGGTGGAGCAACGAAACTGGCTGGTGAGATCGGTCTATTTCGTTGTCGTCCTTCGCGAAAACTCCCGGTGCCTCGAACATGCACGCGCAGCCAGAGAACGCGTCGAAATCAACGAGCGCGTGCTGGAAGCCAGTTGTTTGAAACGAAAAAACTCAATAAACGCTTGCTGGAGGCAGCAGGTGTTTGAAGGAGACGTCCCACCTAAAGTCCCTCGATAAAATTCACCCTTACAAGCACCACCAAACATTGTAGTGGAAACGCGCAAGACACGTGCCGCGAGCGGGAGCTCCGCCGCCATTCGCTTTCAAGGGCCGCTCATTTCGGTGCTGCGCCGCCATTTGCTTCCAAGTGCAGCTCGGGATACGGGCCTCGTGCACTGACGCATTCCACGTTACTTGCGAGACAAACGCAAACACATCGAGGGGCTTTAGTCCCACCGTCCTCACTTTGACAGTGGTTGTTGACGACATCCTGTTGCTCCAGCTCATGCATACGATCATTCGAGCAGACAAACTTGAGCGCGCCGTATGGCTAGACCTCGGAGAATAGACCGATTTCACCAAACGCTCGGCATATGCGTGAAGCCGCCATACCTATAGACGCTTTGCAGCAGCTGTGCATTGGTGCCGCCATAAGCGACCTTCAGTTTTTGTTGCGTCTTATTACAATTACTTCACTTGATCGTCACCGCAGCAGGGCAGGTTATTGCCGTTTTAGGTTCTGCTGTGTCTTTCTCCACAGCACTGACCTTTGTGGAGGCTCGTCAACGCCCGCTTTAGTTGCTTGGCATCTGGGAAAGACAACTGAAGGTCATCAATGGCGGCTGTAATTCGGCGCGTGTGTAAAGCGTCTATAGCCCGAGGCGGATCGTGCCTTCTCGTGCGCTGCGTGCGCAGAGCTCCAACGAGGTTGTCGCAAGTGCAGCTTGACGAACGTTCCCTCGATGCATTGCGGCAGCGGTGGCGTGGCCAAACTGGCTGGTGAGATCGGTCTTTTAACAGCGGGTCCTAAGAGCGCGACTTTCAGTTTCGGCTCGCTGAGGAGGCTGGTCGTATAGATGGGGTACGGATCAGGCACGGGAGTGGAATCGAGAGCGGAAGAGGCAAAAATAGCGTGGAAATCCTCAGAGTCGCGCTCAGGAGGGGGTGCAGAAACGACGACGCCACCATTGTAGCAAATACCTGGAGCGCCAAGCTTCTGTCGCCGGAAATAAAAGTTACGTGATAGCGAAAATTCACTCGGTCTTTTTCTTGATGGGTTACCTTTTGAGACATGAAACGCTTTTTAACGCTACCCCCCAATCCCGAACTTTTGTCCGTCCTTCGGTCCGTCCATGCATATTCCGACAAATTTATCGCGGCAACTCACGTCACGTCACTTACGCATCAATTCAGTCTCCCCGCTAAATTGGCCTTTAAAATCGATGTCGCGTGATCTGATGTCAAGAGACCTACAGGGAAATTGAAGTTCCCCGCTCAATTTAGAAAAATTGACGTCACGTGACTAATGCACCAATAGACCATTTGCTATATCCCCCAAGTGCCCCGGCCCCCGTAAAAGAATCACGGGAACGGTGTTCCTTCAGCCCAGTAGTGATTGGTAATTTCGACCCTATTCTTGGCTACACAAGTTCTGAGCGTAATTCGGAGTCACCCTGAACAAGCGCCTGATATACCCCAATGACCTGTCATATCGCTTTTAAAATTTCTCCTCAATGTCAGCGTTTTTGGTACTGTACATGCTGTCCGCCCTTCAACCTGGATGGGCTGAAAAAATTTCTTACATTATTATCATGCTGATATTAAGTTAGAAACGCTAAAAATGCTATAAACAGCCCCGCGGACTCCAAGCTAAATCCTGGTTTTTGTTGTTGTGAATTATCGGCTTTTTAAGCAATTCCTGCTAAACAACAATCACGAGAATGATAATATTGTAGGAGATTTCTGCAGCCCAGTCAGGTTGAAAGGTGCATCGCATGCGCAGTATCAAAAATGCTAACGTTGACGAGCAATTTTAAAAGTGATATGACAGGTCCTTGGGGTATATCAGGTGCTTGTTCAGGGTGATCTCGAATTACGCTCAAAGACTGAGTAACCATGGAGTTGGTCCAAAATTAGCGATCGTTAGGAGCTTAACGAACGCCGTTGATTCATTGAGTGCGGGCCGGGGCACTTGGAAATACTGCAAATGGTCTATTCAGTTTCCCCTCTGAATGTGGCGAGAAAATTAATGTCAATTGACCTGCCGTTACGCGACCTACAGACAAATTCAGGTTGACGAAAATAATCCATGGAGAAGGGAAAAAAAGGGGGACAAAGTGCAAACACAAATCTCCAAACACAGCTAGGTGACTGATGAGCGACCGAAAAAATCCGCTTGGTATATCCAACCAGGGACCTCTCCGTTTCCAGTGGAGCACTCTACCAACTGAGCAAACCAGGAGTTAGACGTCATTAGAGCAAACGGGTTTTATCGGCTGACACCAGTCTAACACCACAAATGATGAGCAGCGGCTGATGAAATAATAATATGCAAGCCGATCAGATGCAGCTGATAAGATGCAAGCCGTTCACCCTTGTTGGTGTTAGACTGGTGGCAGCTGATAAAACCTGTTTGCTCCACTGACGTCTAACTCCTGTGTAGATCAGTTGGTAGAGCGCGCCACTGGAAATGGAGAGGTCCCGGGTTGGATACCAGGACCAGGCAGATTTTTTTGGTCGCGCACCAGTCAGCTAGCTGTTTTTGGAAATTTGTGCTTGTGCTTTGTCCCTCTTCTTCCCCTTCTCCTGGGATTATTATCGTCATTCTTGTCCAGCTCGCTTGCACCTTTGCATTTAATTGCATTATCATCAAATTCAAGTTCCCCGCTAAATTTCGCAGAAAAATTGACATCACGTGACCTCTGCACAAATTATGTTTATCGCTAAATTTGCCGAGCAACGGGACCTACAGACAAAGTCAGTTTAAAATGAAAATCCTAGGACACCTAAGAACTTTTTATAAGTTGTGAATCCGAAAGCATGCCGCCTGCGATGTTTTGCTTCCGCCTCGCGTTGTCGAAGGGCCTCGTCTTCTTGCAGCCTGAGACGCTTTGAATCGCGACCCGCCTGCACCTCACGATTTAGAAAGGCTTTCGCACGACCTACTGTAATCCTGACCTGCCCACAGAAGAATGTGCCCGTGTACATTTTTTACTATATAGCCGCGGCCGCAGCGTTTCGTCACGCTATTCGCGGCGCTGCATGAAGGCTTTTTTCATTCCTACTGGTATCCACATATAAATCAAAGGTGCGCAAGGCGCGGCGGCCTTATCTGGCCCTGACCTGCTCTGCTCGCGCACTTTGCGGGATGAAGTCCTCAATCGGTGGTCGCGTGACAAATTCGTCACTAGAGTCGCCGGCTGCCACTACAGGCGCTATTTATGGGCAATCCGAAAACGTGATTTATTTCGACGATGGCACAAGAGCAGTCGGGAATCAAAAAGCTCGATTTACACCTAAGATCTTCTTATAAGTCGTGAATGCGAAAGCATGCCAGCCGCTCGTCCGCTCTCTTTTTCGTCTGCTGCGTATTTTTCGTCGCTGGTCAGCGCGCGTGCTCCCCTGGTGACCTTGGACGCTGCGTGTTAACGGCGCGCTGATGGAGACGCAGCGCCATGGGGTGAGCGGTTGTGGAAACTGACGAGCGCAGCGGCCAATAGAAGCCCCGTCGACGCGCTCCAGCCAATGGAACCGAAGGTGAAATCGCGTAAACTAGGTGCCGTTTTCGAGCTTCAAACTGATGACGTTAGCTCGCTCCATGGGACAGTTAATGCTTTCGCATTAAAACATCCTTGCGCTTCCCTGCCTGAGAAACGCGCTCTTTCGATCCAAGCACAGCCACGAAATGAGCTACGCTTAGAGTATCGGCACTCCGTTCCCCGATATTGATGTGGGCGCCGCCATATTGGTGCTTGTACAGAGCAGCTTCAACTGCCGATTGCCATGATTCAAAAGACCGACTTCCACAGCATTAAATGCGGTGTTAGGAACTTCATGTAATATTGCTTTGCTCTGTAGCGAACTGTTCAAACATTTGTGGAGGGCGGAAAAGCGGTTCCTGGGATTTCAGATAAAGCTTCACATAAATGGCAACCATGAGTTTAAGCCCCAAGATAGGTAAGTGTGGTTACTCTGAAGCCTAGATTATTTAGTGGCACTAGATCCAAGCAAACATGAGAGCGACTCACCCTGCTGTGTTCTACTGCTGCTGCAGCCCGCTGGCGCCATGCTACGGTACGCGTTCCCAAAATACAGATATTATCAGCCGCACGCTGTGCGGACCGCGCTCTAGACTGTGAACCGCGTTTGGGTCGCAGAAAAGCCTTTACCGCGATCCCCCAATGACAAAGCGAGGCACTTCATTGGCGACAGCGTCTTCCATAGGGAGACATGCTGTGGGCAGGTCAGGATTGCAGTAGATCATGGGCATTGGTCTGTCTTCTAGCGCGTTGCGCCGCTGCTCGTTCCGCCCGCCGTGTATTCGGAGACTTGACTGTGGTGGCGGATATCGCTGCCTGCCTCCTCGCTCCTCGTGCTTCGTTATTCCCGTATCCTAGTTCGTAAGCGGTGTATTTCTGTGGACGGGCAGGTTTAGTTACTTCCGAGGTTGCAGCCGCCAACGACGTAGATGCTTGAGGCGCCGCTATGTTCGTCTGCGTCGGGAGGAGCAGAAGTGGCAGATTGCGCGCCACCGTGTTCGTTTTACCGGCGCGGGGCCCGCAGTGCCATGGCGCGCGCCAGCCAATGGGAGCCTATCCATCAAATCGCTGCTACAAACTACAGGCTTCGCTTCATTGGGACATAAGAGTTTAGGACAGTTAATGCTTTCGCAATAAAATAAACACATTAAGATGCAATCCCGTCTTATATGCTACATTTCATGTGTTAAAGGACTAGGAAGGTAAAGGTCGATGTTAATTCTTATAATACAGTCGCAGACAGCTTAATTAACGTAAGGCGCGGCGAGCTACCACAACCTATTGCATCTGGAGCGCCAGACGAAGGCAGCCGTCTCTTTTGTCTCGGCGGAACCAGAATCTCGGTGCACCGGCAGCAGACCTCTTCCTCAGCGCCGCGCGGAAGCGCGCAGCGTGACCACAGCGTTATGCGCATTCCTACTCTCGGAAGCGAGATGTCCACTCCCGTACGGGAGGAATTGTATAGGCGCGCTGCCTCATCATCAAGGCGCATTCACGATGGCGTTCGAATCGCAACCGCCAAGCGGACCCGCTCGTTTTCATCATCAAATGGGCGTGAAATTACTAGGAAAACGCGTACGCAGCCGCTTTGCGAACGCAGTTCAGCCTCCGGTGTGAATACGGCGTAAGGGTGATCCAGACTGCTCGTGGCTAATTGGGCTCGTTTCCAATAGGAAGCGAAACTTCGTCTGCTTCTTTCCAGAGGTTGTGGTAATGTAAGAACGCTGAGCTCTGATTGGCTCTGATTGGAGAATAGTGGGTAGACCTCACAGCAAGTTGTCTTGATGTCTACCCACTATCTTTCAATTAAAACCAATCAGAGCTTGCCGTTCTGACGTTTAACACAACCCCAGCAATAAAAGTAGACGAACTTTCGCTTCGTATAATACGCGAAGGAGAGAGAAGTTGATTGTCAGTAAGCGTTTTCTCATTTTCGCTCAGCCCCTCCGCCCGCAATCCTCCTCTCCACTCGACAATGCGCGCATGCACCCAATCTGCGCTGGACGCGCACGCCTTGAATTGAAAACGTGTTCTATTGTGTCAGTTACTCCTTCCTTTTAAATTCAGCTCTCTCTGTCTAATGCAGATTAGCCTGGGTGGAATGCGTTCCCCTTAGTAAGGTTTCATAAAGATCTTTTCTGAACGCAAACGTAAGGTTGTCGCTACCTTTGTACTTCGCCGAGCGATTGGACTGCACTTGACCGCGACGTAGGCACGTTTGTAAGCGGTGACGTTTCAAAACGCGAGTGCGCAATCTTTTGTTTCAGGGAGACTCAGGAGGCCCCCTTCAGTGCAAATCTACAGACGGTCGCTACGTGCTCGCCGGAATGACTTCGTGGGGTGAGCTCTGCGCGGCTCCGCGCGAACCCACCGTTTTTTCGAGGATTGCCACCCAACTGTCCTGGATCGAGGAGGTCACGGGAACATCTCCGTGAGGACGACTTGAAACCTCCCCGCAAAGCATCGCACGTGTTGCACCCGTCCAAGTCACCTGAAAGCCAGCTGAACTGTCGGCAGACGCTCACCCAAAGAGGGCGTACAATGCAGGAACTGTCACGTTGCTCAAATTTTGCGATTAAATTATTCTTTTTTGAAATTTTGTTCTCTCTGTTAAAAAAGGTTGTTTTACTAAATTCAAATAGTTGCGCATCCATCGGCCCTTTTTAAAACCCCATCAAGCAACACTAGCAGCCGTCCTTTGTGAGGCACTAGCCTTTGATTGCATCCTTGTCCTCGCCAATCGCTGACGCAGCCGTCCTCATGTGCAGTACATGCGCAGAGTACGTGCTCATACTATGGCGGAGTCAGATAACTGGTGCAAGTGCTTTATACTTTATGGCACGCACTTCAAAGCGTGAGAGCAGTAGTTGCTGGAAGTGAGTGTTCCACGTAGCAGACACATGGGAGATTTTTAAGACGCCACGTCTCGCAGAAATACGATGTCCACCTTTCTGATGACCCTCTCAAACTTTTTTTTCTCTGGAATTTATGGAATCCTATTCAAATTGCCGGGAAAACGCTGCAATCCCTATCGAAAAATCTCAATTTTATGAGAAATTTTGTGTCCAATAAACACATATGAATCATACAAGATGTATAAGGACATATAAGAACCGCATAAGAACTATGTAAGAACCATTTATAATATATAAGAACATATAAAACCCATATAAGAAACTTTTGAGAAGTTTCTTACAAGTTTATTGTACGGTTCTCATATGTTGTTATCTATATCCTATATAGTTCTTAGATTGTTCTTATATGTTCTTATATATCTTGTATGATTTATATGTGTTTATTGGACACAAGACATTTCTGATACAAATTGCTTTTTCACTCGGGAATCTCAACTTTATTAGGAATCTGTCCCTGGATATGCTCCATATCACACTCAAAATTCTTTACCCAGAGTTCGCAAAATAACACAGTCGGTGATTAAAAAAAAAAAAGGCATTGCGAACTAAGTGCAACGGCGGATTGACTGGTACTAGAGCCCGCTTTACGCTTCCGCTGTGAAGTGGTTGAGTCTACCTTGGCCGTACGGTTTCTAAATTTACATCATTCGTAGATAACCTCCGAGTCTGCTGTAATGAAACCAGCACCTAAATGCATCCCCCTAGTGCGTTCTCCACTTCTCCAATCACACATTAATTTGAGGGATTCCTTCAAAAAGCGCAAACAAAAACGCAAAAAAAAATTATTTATTTTTTATTTGACAAGCTTATTTGGGTCACGTTTGTTTTTTACATCCTTCGCTCGTTCTGTGACAAAAAGAAGTGATCGATTCCCGCTGCGTCCCGCATGATGGTGGGACAGGGACCTTTCAATAACTCATATTTGCCCAACAATAGGCCATCAATTCCCGGGGTGCACCACATTGAATCCCGCAGCTTCTACTCGGACACTCAACTTCTGGTGAAGACCAGGCGCAGTCGGACACGGGATTATCAGACTGGAGATAGACATGGGAGGTTCGCTTTTGTGCGCCTCTCTCGTCATGATGACATTCCCGGCAGTGTTCGGTAAGCGTCGTGCTAATTTCGCATAATTCGCTAACTTTCCTTTCTTAGAACTATTACGCACATTCTGAGTTCCGTTAAAAAAAACAGCTATCAACAGTTGATAAACTTCCCTCCTGTCCGTGTACGTTAAAAACTGCCTCACGAAGAAGCTGTATGAAGATAGGGTCACAACAAGGCGGTACGAAATTTGGGTACTTCGGGAAGTTTATATAAAAAGCGACGGATCGAATCGCTAATCCAGATTCATCCTGCACAACATCAACTTGGTCGGTGTTCATTGAGGTTGATCATAATGATTATAACGTTTCGTATTATAATCACTGGCAAATTCAAAACATCAGGGCGTGGCGAACCCCATACATCTTGGTATCGCTCCGCGATCATGGGATTGCGGCCTCAGTCGACAAGAACGCCAAAGAACTAAGCATTAAGGAAAAAGTGTGATCTTGCGTTTTTCGAGTTGTCAGAGACCGTAGCTTCCCTTCCGAGCTTCCCCGTAAAGTGCCAACATAAGTCCCACACCCCACCAGGCTATCCCCCTTTTTTTCTATGCAACACCAAACAAACGAACCTTCCAAGCGGTATAAAAAAATCGATGATTGAAATACTAACATCGTGATAAAGTGAGCTACTTCCCAAGCTCACTACCAGCAAAAGCGTTTGTTGGAGAGGCGCAAGCATGGTATGCAATGGCGCTCTTCAAACGCTTGTCAGCGGTCTGCGGAGTTCGTGGACCAAGCGCTGTCAACACTGGAGGCGGCAGCGGCAACAGCAGCAGCACCACCATTCACGGCAACGACAGTGCTGCCAACGCTTTCAAATTCTTCTTCAATGTTCGGGGTATTCATCGAATCGTTGGCGGTGAAGACGCCGGAGCACTCGAGTTCCCCTGGCAGGTATCGCTTCGCCGTCAGGTACCTTTCGTGAACATAGACTTGGGCCACATATGCGGCGGATCCATCGTCAACGAGCAGTTCGTCGTCACTGCCGCACACTGCGTCGACGAGTGAGTGTTCACGTTTTACATCCAGTGTATAGCCTGGAGAGCGTCTCCGACTGGCGGGTTTATAGCGCGTCCTCAAAAGTGGTCCCTCGATTCCCTCGATTTCCGCCTAATGAAGTCACAGAGATGTCATGCAGTCGTCTGCCACGAACTTGGCGGTGGCACTGCACCGGAGGTGGGTGCGGCAGACGCCTGTTCCGCTGCTGGTCACCTTCTTGCTTGACAGTTCATGGAAGCTAAGGTGGTCAGGAGTTGGGAAGCAGCCACGACAGCGACGATCACGTTCGCTCGTGCTTCTACAGATACTTCTACGACCGACCGCCAGGATCACGACAGCTCAGCACGACACGCCGGCTCATATGCCGTCAATTGTTTACCACTTCAGGACCTCATTTCATGCGTAGGCGGTACAGGACGCTGAACTCACTAGTCGAAGATGCGTTCCACGTGCTGTATACTTTCAAACTCGTACTGCATTTAAAAATTAGTACCATCGAGTGGGGCATTGGCTCGAGCGCCGTGTATGGCTTAAGGAATTCTGTCCCTCGCGCTTCTGCTCCTCGAACTTAAAGGGGCAGTGCAACGATACTCAATTGTTTTTCACTTTACATGAGCTTATTACCACTAGTGGGACTCAAGGATACTCGCACACAACGCCACTAGCCGAGAAACTCCTTTGTTTGTTGCGGTGTAATTTCAAGGACAAAAGCGAGCGTTTTCATTCAATTTCTCCTTCGCGAAACTTGTTGACGCAACTGGGGGATCGCAGTATCCTCCAGTGACGATATTTGAATGCGGCCCATAATTTGGACCCGAGCATTGCATGGGCACTCGATTTCGGTTCGTGATAATCGATTGCTCGAGAAACATTCGGGTTGTGGCCCGTGTCCAATTGCTGCAATGACGACAATAGCCGAAACCATAACAATGTCCGTAACTCAGCGCGTGTCCTGTGCCTTGCCAACCCCAGAGCGTGGTTATGATCAACGTTTCCGGCATAAAATCTGCTCCAGATCACGTGGCCGCTTGTTCTGACTGCGAATTGATGGGGGGAACGCTGCTCGTTTTTCTTTAATTTTTCCTGCGACTTGGATCGCGTGTGGTGAAGAACGAACGTTTGTTTCACAGGTCATTTACGTCAGAAAACTGTTCTAAGTGGTATTTGCGCAAAGCACTAATATCGTTGCATCGTCCCTTTAAATTCATTTTCAAACTTCAAAACATGATTCTATTTCCGGCTTTGGCATAAAATGAGAATGGCAAGGAGGTTATCCAGTTCCTCTGACCCTAGCGCGAGCTTTTTAACTTCGATAACCCCTCGGCTTCTCGTCAGCTTCGACCTGCAGCCAATGAACGGCGAGAGGCGTTCTTTTTCTGTCAATAAATATAAGGGGCATTCAATGGACACCATATTTGAGGTCTCTGTTTAGAGTGCATACTCAGAATGAGCTCCCATTACTAGGTTGCTAAGACCGACAAACTTGATGGTGTGAACTGTTCGTTGCAAAATAACTGTGGAAGCTGGCCATCAACACGCGCTCAGCAGTTGCGCACACAGCTATGGCCGCCAGTGAATACCCCATACAGTTGTAATACAACTTACGCGTTAAGAACCCACAAAAGAATGCTCTCATGTCAGTCTTTGAGTGCCGTGGCGACGTGCGCGACCGAAAGCGTCGCTGTGGTCGGCCTTCCACGATTGGCCGAACGCTGACTATGGCGTCAGAAAAGGACTTATCATCGACGGAAATAAGAGGAATGAAAGAACTTTAATTTTGACGGTGTCGGCAGTGTTTTTTGGAGAGCGCAATGATTTCAAGCTTCCACCATGCTATTTACAAACACCATCGAACTTGCTGTTTGCAAGGTGATGACGTCACAAGGGGGAACCATAGGAGGGTGCCATCAAGACATCTCGCCGCTAATAGGCAGTTTTCAAAGGAGGCAAGAGCTGTATGCGCGGCTGCTGGGTACGTGCTGACGGCGAACTTCCAGAATTATTTTGCAACGTGCATTCCGCACCATCAAGATTTCCCGTCTTACCAGACTATTAATGTGAGCTCGTTCTGATCATGCGCTCTAAACATCGTCCTCAAATAGGGTGTCCAGTGTTTACACCCTATAGGGAGTATTCACTGGCGGCCATATCCGTGTGCGCTGCTGCTGAGCGCGTGCTGACGGCGAGCTTCCGCAGTCCTTTTGGAGCGTGCATTTAGCACCATCAAGGTTGCCGGTCTTAGCAGGCTATTAATGTGAGCTCGTTCTGAGCATGCGCTCTAAACATCGCCCTCAAATATGGCGTCCAGTGAATACCTCCTATACTCGTTGCGTTGTTTCGGTTCGGTCCCTGCACCTTCTAAAATGGCTGCCAATGTGTTTTTTTTTTTTTTTTTTGCATGTGGCGGCTTATTTTGTCTTGTGGTGTAACCTGGTGATGGCATCTGGAAAGTTTTATTTAGGAAACTTGTGTTTCTGTTTTCTTCTTTTATGTACCAGAATGGTGAATATATGTCGTTGAACCTCGCGCCTTATGGCGAGCACTGTAATTTCAGAATTAGTAACAAACTCTGAATTCGATGACTGCAAGTTTGGAAAAAAAAAAATATCTAAACGAATAACAAGATAGTGACACCAGGGTGTGACGTTGTGGTGCCACTGCATAGTACCGTGTCTCGAAAATTCTATTACGAGAAAAATGTCCTAGGTTGAAGGCATGCTGACATTAACTAACCTTCGAGTCATTAATAAAAAAAGAATACTTCATAAAGCATTCTACAGTGTTAGAGAAGTAAAAATGTGTGCTGCAAGTGGAAAAGAAACCTTGTACTCGAAGGGTCTAGAGCAGCAAAAAGACGGTTTGGCTAGTTGAGATTATTAATTTCTGAAACAAAAAAAGCTATAAGAGACAAGCAGAAACGACAAGGAAGGCCTCCTCAACCTGTGTTTCCACTGGTCCGCTTTCCTGAAATAACCCTTTTGTTTTGAGATATCCAGTGAAACCATAACCTATCTCGAGCCCTTTAGTAAAATCATAAACAAGGGCAAATTAAGTCTGTTTATATTTGGTGCTAACAATTTCAATCCCAGTCTTTACTTGTAATAAAAACATCAGATACGAATTGCTTCATACTATAGAGAGTTTGTGGTGCGGCACTTGGAAATTTTCTATAAAACATGTTAGCTCCACGTTCGCGGTAGTATTCTTAAAACAGAATGAAATCTAAGAAGTGAAAGCTGATAAAAAAAAATACGCTGTATTTCTTTTTTTTTATTTTACCTTGCGTTTTCTTTGTGCGCTCTCTGCTCTAGGTCTTTCGCACTAAGCTACGCTGTAGTGGTCGGGGACCAGAACGTGAACAAAAAGGATTCTACCGAGGACAGAATTGGCGTGTCTTATGTAAGTGTGCCTTTATCATCGCGTATTTCAAGAGCCTGCTAACCGCGAAAGCTTGCTGCAGGCCTCAGAAACGCGACAAATATGACAAGCCTTTATACTCGCGATTTGACGCGACTGATGATAGGATCCTAACCTTTACTTACTTACTAAAGTAAATAGTGCGCAGCTTCGTTTTTGTCTTCTTAATACAGCTGTGATTAGGGTCACAAATATTAGCATCATCTTCACGTCAGTTATAGGACCGACTCAAACTAAACACACAATGTCCGCTTATCGAGTTATCAACGTTACCTTGCGTTCATATGATTTACCGCGGGAATCGGGGACGCCAAGCTGATATCTCTCTACCTCGGTAATAAGTGTAAAGAGAACGAAAATATGACCATTTACCAGGTAGCCGTTGTCGTTGCCCTTATAATGATAATTTGTTTTCCATCTTGTGACTCTCAGTTGACTTAAGTGAAAGACGCGTTGTAGGTCCTAAACCTACTACTCCTCTAATGCGCGTGCACTCTCCCTTCAACCGACGTTGTCTGGAACGCGTTTTCGACTGGTGTGTTTAGCGTGATATCACAGCATACCTCAAAAGTGGTCCAGAAGGGACAACAAATCACGTCACAGGAGCCGGCGTCTCATGCTGTTGCATATCGCGATCCTGGCGGTTGGTTATAGAAGTCCTGACGAAACGTAAGACCGAACGCAAGTGCCGCTGTCGTAGCGGTGTCCCAAATTTTGACCGCTTTAGTTTTCGTGGACTGTAGGGTGAAGAACCAAGCTTCGGCAGACCAAGAGTTCACCCCAATACAAGTACAAATCTAAAACCCTAAATCCAAATTCAAATCCAAATCACCATGTCCACCCCCGCAGCTGTACCACAGCCATGATCACGGCAGGCAACAGCATGAAGCTTCTATGGCGTCCATAGGAAGAAACAATGAAACCACAAATAATTAAGGTGCATTATACACTCGGAAACACGTTCAAGGCACCATACTAAGACCGATGGTGATAAGTCTGCATTTATGTTTTGGAAGACTTCGGGGCACACCCACGTATAATGTGAAAGACAACACTCGATCTGGACTTTAACTACAACTAAGGTCCCTACAGTCCCTATTATCTCCCGAATTGCCTAAAATAGTTCGGAGAGTGGAACCTAAACTTTGAGTTCCAAGCCTACACAATGGACCAAAAAACTTTCTTTAAGGACTGGCAGGTGTCTTTTATAAGCATAGTGGGCTGGTCACGCTCATATTGTTCTTTCGGGCTAGCACTTCTGTTTCTTGCTTACAGTTCCGGCAACACCCTAAATGGAACCGCGCGACCGTGAACTACGACTACGCTGTCGTGAGGCTGGCGAGGAAGCTCAACTTTACCGGCAAGCACAAGCACTTGATGCCGATCTGTCTCCCAGAGAAGGATCAGAGCTTCGACGGAGAGACGTGCACGGCTTCTGGATGGGGACTCATCAAAGACCGTGAGTTAATTCACGCCAAGTCTGAGTCTTAAACTGCGCGCGAACGTTATAAGATATCACTTCATTTAACAAATCTGGACGAGACGCAGCAGCTCTAGTAAATTCATAGTATAGCCTGCAGATTTCAGCGCTACCGGCGAATAGTGCTGAAGGGGGATCCGGGCATTTCGGTGTAGGACGTTTCGGTGCGGTCTTTTTAGTGCATGGACTTTACGATGCACGGGCATTTCGGTGCACGGACTTTTCGGTGTGGGACTTTTCGGTGTGCAGACATTTCGGCGCACGGACTTTTCGGTGCACAAAAAATCAAAACACAAGTCTTTTTTTTTAACGTAATAACCACAGTTCTAGCTAGAAATTTATTTTTCCGCACTTTATAAATTATTAGACTTCGTCATCCATTTACGGTCACTTACTCATATACAACCTAAGTGACTTTGTTAGGCGCAGCATCTTGAGGGAGGACTGGATACGTTGGAAGTTAAGTTTAATTTGACGGTGTCTCTGTTCCAACGTACGCAATAGACGCATCACAGCGTGTTTGCGCGTTGGGTCAATACAGGCGTTCTCGGCGCCTTTTGTAAAGGTGTGGGCTTTATTATTGGTAATCTGTGTAGAAAAGGCCCCAACAGCTAGAAGCTTGAGATTGCTGAAAATTACCCTAGACATGTGATGCGACTAGTCCGTACGATGAAAAAGAGAAACCAACAAACGAACCATAACGTCCGACGTCTCCAATCCTCACGCAGGATGGTGCTGCACCTAACAAAATCACTTAGGTCGTATATGAGTAAGTGACCGTAAATGGATGACAAGTCTACAAATTTATAAAGTGCGAGAAAATAACTTTCTGGCTAGAATTATGCCTATTACGTTTAGACAAAACTAAGAAACAAAACTCGTGATTTTGATTTCCCGTGCACCGAAATGTCCATGCACCGAAACGTCCTTGCACCGAAATGTCCGCACAGCAAAAAGTCCTACACCGAAAAGTCCGTGCACCGAAATGTCCGTGCACCGCAATGTCCGTGCACCGAAAGTCCGTGCATCGAAAAGACCGCACCGAAACGCCCTACACCGAAACGTCCTACACCGAAAGGACCTAGAACCTGCTGAAGAAAGAACACGAGATGGTGGGGCCCGTAGATAGTACCCTTCAGCGCTAAAAAGCACTGACAACGCTGAAAGTTGTTACGTTTCAGAAAGCTAATTAATCTGCACTTGCTGTAATTCGTTTCATTACGCAGTGAAAAACCGGTCAATAAACCTCAAAGTCAAAACTAAACTTACGACAGCCGCTGAGTTCAAAGAGGCGCTAAATGCAATTCTAAAACAATACATCTTCCGAAAAAAGAAACTATTATTCAATTTCAGACTGATCCAATGTATGGTCGAAGGATTTCCTTCAAAGTTTACAAAGAAATTTTGTTCCGCGAAATATAGCGGCCCAACGTTACCGCAAATTAAATCCAAACAATTAAAAAAAGTGAGGGAAGGGGGAAGAGAGAGAGAAACAATGGATGTATACGAGTCTGCCACAGGTTGCCACAAAACGGGCGACTAGGTGCTATCCTTCCCATTAGAGCCAATCAGGGCTCGGCCTTTTGACGCCACTGCAGCCCCTGCGCAAAAAGCGGACGAGTTTTCGCCCCGTATAGTCACTGAATCGCAAGGCGTGGCTCATTATGCGCACACTCTTTTTGTCCTTCTTTGGCACCGCGAACGCTGCTTTCTCACTGGCTGCGGGGCGATAATTAGATGCTTGGACGCGCCCCGCGTTTCATAACCCGTCTATGACTACGCGGATCGTAAGTTCGTCTCCTTCTTCCGCAGGGGTTGCGATAGTATCAGAACGCCAAGCTCTCACTGGCTGATGAATTGACAAAAAATAGTGGGTAAACCTCAAGGCGTCTAGCATTGCGGACTACCCACTTTCCTTTCAATCAGATCCAGACAGAGCTCGGCGTCGTTCGAACGTCACCGCAACTGCTGCGCATGAAGCAGACGAATGGACCTTTTCAGAGAAGCGTTCTGCGCACGCGCGAGCGCCCGATGCCAAGCGGCGGAAGTCGGCACGAAAAATCGAGGAAATTCGGAAGGAGGCTGTGGATCAGCGAGTAGAACACGTAATTGCACCATACATATAACTGTGTTACACAAGAAAAGAAAGTGGACGAAAAGAAAAACACGACGTTTGGGTGGACGCCACGGGTGCCCCTCTTTCAAGTCGCGTTGGCCACAATCCGCAGGTCAGAGCGAAGAAACTGGTAGCGAGCGTCCATTATCGATTGGTAGCGCAGATAGTTCACTTCCTCGATTTTCAGTTCGTGCAGCCCCCGCCTGGCGCCGTCGGTATGTGGAAAAGGTCCACTGCTCTCCGCATACATGGCTTGCATTTACGTCACATCAGTCGCCACTTCTCCGTTCCATGCTACTGTCCCCGTATACCTTGTGCAGCCTACGTTTCGCACCGTCAATATTTATCTTCTCAGCAAGGCTTGACGAGAAAAAAACAAATTCGAGGGTGCAAAATGTCGGCTGCAGAAGGTGCGGGCACAGGTGCATGGTACGCGGCAATGACGGCTGGTACGGTGCCATATGACGTCACGTTCATCTAACATACCTCGGGCTCTGAAAAACTCAGAGTACAGCTTGTGGAGAACGAAGGCGCAGAAAAAGGCCGGATCGGGCGGTTTCAGCTCGTATCAATAGCGCGGGTATGTCCGACAAAGGGGTGACATTCTACTTTCCTTCTATCCTTTTATTCCGGGAGGCTCCATTGACCATGTTGCTTTATGGACTGTCTAATAGATTGTGCGGCCAGGAATCGTGGTTTGATTCCACCCCCAGGGTTTTAGATTATATCAGTAACTGGGTTCGCGTCTCCGACACATTGACCGTATGTTTGAAGCATAGTTGAACATCAGAAATTCGCTGCGGTATCCCTTCAAACTCTGTATAAAAAGCACCGATTGCAGTAAACAAACTGATGTTGCGTACAGATTAAGGCTTCCCGCGTATTAGCAATGCTCTCATTCTCAAAGTCGTGTAAAGAGTCATCAAACTCTGCGCAACGATTTGTTTGCAACAGCACGTGCAACTAAATATTTTTCAATAGATATTGAACTAAACAATTGAGTGTCCATAATAAGTGCCGCACGTTCCTTCTACGAGCCAGCAGCCGCCGGTGTGCGGGAGCACACGCAAACAAATTGACATCATAGTTCCCCATTCGCGCTTAAGATGACAGTGAAATGTATGGGCTTCAGGCCAAAGGAGAATAAAGACAGTCTTTTTTATCTCCTCAAGTGGAGCATCCTTGTTAAACCAATTAATCGCTTACTTTTTACGTCAGACCCCACTGTGGAGATGAAAAGCTTGCGTTTAATCCCCTTTTCCCGAAGCCCACACATTTCACTGTCCTCTTAAGCGTGAATGGGGGACTATGGCGTGTGCTCGCGCACACCGGTAGCTGCTGGCTCGTGGACAGATCGTGCACCACTTATTATAGACACTGAAATGTTTGGTGCAGCACAAATCGGACAAACGTAGAGTGTCAAAATCCATAAACCATTTTCAAAAGTGCGCGCCATCTAATAGCTGATGTCCCAATCAACTTAGTCCGTCACTATGTGGGCGCGAGCTCTGACCATGTATTAAACGCAAAGATTGCGTCAACGTTCGGCATGAACTCGGCTCAACTTGCGTGGAAGACGAGTTTTAGTCAGGGTTCCGCGATGACTCGGATCCAGTCACAAGCTTCCTGCACAAAAGAACAATGGCAAGCGTCAAGGTTGCTTGATGGGGTCTTGAAAGGGGTCTGTTGTGTGGACACTAGGGTGCCTTCATGTGCGCTTTGCTTAGGGTGGTGGCACTTCGCCATTTTGTCCCACACGTTTATTTTTATTTTATGTTCAGAAGCGCGTGAAAGAGCGTGGCCCTGCACGCGTTTGTGGCGTTGACTGTGCTATGGCGACATTTTGTTTTCGTCTATCTCTTTGTATTTTCCCCGTGAGCGCGTGCTGTCGGCATCGGGCACTACAAAGGGTGGCATCACCCTAAACAGAAGGACATTGAGGCGCCCTAGTGGACACTATTCATAGATTCCTACGTACCACATCTATAGTTTCCTTCGAGCACGATGAGCCAACAGGCGAAGATGAGGTGCCGAAGCTAAAGATATCTAACACAAGCGAAACTTGGGGGCGGCGCGCTTTCAGAGCACGAGCTAGCACGTAAGAGCAACTCCCTTAAAGGGGCACTGACACCCCAAAGGTCGTATTCTTTTTTATTGTCTAAAACGATGCAAGTTGTAGTCATAGACACGCAAAAGAAACCGCGTTGCGAAGAAAAATTTCCCCGCGCGCGCGCGCGCCTTTTTATTTTTGGCGTTTATATTTCCCGCGCTCACCTCCTCGCTTCTTTTGATCGGTGACGTCAAAAATCAGGAAATTTAGAAGCTTTGTAGGCGACATTTCTATAACATTGAATAACGGCAATCGTAAAACATGTTTTTTAACGCAATAACGAACGCACTACGGCCTTTCTTTTTGAAATACCAAAAATCTTATTTCGGTGTGATGTCGCTTCCTGGATTTGTGTTCTCCCTCGGAAAACTTGGCGGCGCTCGAGCAGAGGCTTATCGCCGAGTCGGGGAACAAACCGGTTTTTCCCCGAGCCGGCTCCCTTCTATCCCGCCTGCTCACCTCCTCCTCTCTTCGGGTCGCGGTAGCAACGGCGCTTTGCTTCACAGCGTGGTGCGGAGGTCCGAAAGAAAGTCGAGTCGCAGGAGACCGCAAAACGTGACTCACTGCACTGGCGCGGATTGCGCGGGAACTTCAAATTCGGCATTTGGAAATTGTTTTTTTAATTCACAAATACTGAATTCCCAAGTTTCGAATTTTGAGGGTAATGTCCCGGCATCATTTTCAATCGTTTCGGATAACAAAATAAATTACGATTTTGATGTGTCAGTGCCCCTTTATTTAGTACTTTTCGTCTAAAGTCGGCAAACATTCCTAGTGTTAGAAGTGGACGTAAATGAACAGTACATGGAAGCTTAGTTCCACATTTCATCGCTCTACACTCCTGACGGTCGAGTACGATTGTGAACAGCAAAGCTTATTCTTCACACACAGCTCACACATCATATAAAAGATAGTGTGTTCGCTTCGGGCGTGATGGACATAGTTATATACGATCAGACCTCAAGCATGTTGGAAGTGTATTTACCTCATACAGGCCTCCAAGATGTCCGCAGAGAGGTGTCTTATGACCAATGTACAAGAAAGAATCAATCCTGGGATAGTCTGTGCAGACTGTCTCTTTATAAGGCATTAGCAGTGTGACCACTACTTAAGGTAACGCTACTACGGCAGGCAAAAGAGCGTACAGGCTGAGTGATGCAAAAAATGGCACCCCGACTGGGTACTTCGTAACTCGTGTAAGGTGTCAGATCCTTTGTACGATTTCGTAACAAAGCTGTCTTACCCATATTGCCGCCGCAGAGACCCAGGAAGGCTCCCAAATGCCTGACCAGCTGCAAAAAGTGGACCTGCCCGTTGTACCTTACAACGTCTGCAAGGAATACTACGAGGCGGTTAACGTGGTTCACGAGGACACCATGATTTGCGCCGGCCCTGAAGAGGGCGGGAAATCTGTGTGTCAGGTAAGAATTCCTCGCGTCATTTTTCTTTCTTCTAACTTGTAAACAATGTTTTGTTTTATAAAACAACTATTTTGCACTACGACACCCAGCAATAATGAATATACACGCTAGGGTGAACATTTCTCGCCATTTTCCTCGTAGGCTTATTGGGCCACCTCCTCCTTTTTCCTACACCTTAAAGACCTATTCACACACACAAACACGTGCACACAAGCGCGCGCGCACACTCAGCACTATAAATCAGTGGTGGAAATACCGCTCACCTTGCTCATGCAGCGCTGACTTCGCGCTACACTACAGTGATTCACCACTGATACAGCGCTGCATTAGTGCTAATTTAAGTTTAAGGTACTGTTGTGTCATACCATGCCAAAGGAGACGCGGCAATTGTTTCATGTATGAGATATCTACGAAAAAATTAATTTGTATAAAGAACTTTTTGAACACTAAACAAAGTATTTTTTTGTGAAAAAAAAAATTAGTTTTGCTGATATCATTCTCTAAATTTTTAGTATTTGCATAAACAAGTGTAGTGTAAAAAAAAACACGTTGCGAAAAGATAGTTGCGTACCGTATAAATTAAAGGGGGCACCTAATTATTAACATATCCTATCTTACAGTAAAATACAAACATTGAAAGACGCCATTTTCAGTCCTAATGGAAGCGCTTAGAAAAGAAATTTGATAAGATACTTTTTTTTTTTTTTTTTTTTTTGTAAGCTTGGAGTGGAATGTTAGCTACAATACTCTTTTTGTTTCTTTTCATAGAACTCAAAGTGAATTGCGCGTGGTAAATATTTGAAGCTTCGTTTTGTTGCGCTTTAATTTAATGACAAAATCTCCATGTTAAGCAGAAACGTCTTTATGGCATCGGGGTTCTCAACTTTCAAAATAGCCAAAACTTCAATCTACCTCGCTTGTATAACAAGTAAAAAAATGTAAAAAGTAATTTTGCGGTTGCTGAGAAATTATTTTTTAAAGATGAGCTTCTCCGACCTTGCATTCAGGCGATGTGAGCACTGAGGCGCTCACATCGTAAGCGACGCAAGCCGGCATTCGCCAAAGGGGCGTCAACAAGTAATGCGAGACGCCGCCGCTAGGTCTTCAACTCTCTCCTGAAATCTCTTTTTATTCAGTCAAAGCGGACGTTATTGTGACATCCACGCATCCGTATCCTCTTTACCTTACGTAATAATACTGGCGTCTTAATTTCACTTTACTCCACGTGTAACTACCGACGAGCGCAAGCCTTCATCGTCCGCTTTCCGCGTTCGGAAATGCATACTGCGCGTCGACCTCGTCTGCCATATGTCCGGATGCAAAAACAGTTCAGACCGAATGGTTCTTCACCGATGCAAAATGATAAGAGTGATGTCGCTTCATCATTGAACTTGAATTTATTTGGATAGAACTAAGATGTATTGAAGTTCGTTGGCGCATCCACCAAGGACGCGCTGCCGGAGAGTGACGACGTCATGAAAACGACTACGTCACTCTCTTAAGCGTCATTGTGCGCAGGACTTGCGGCAATCTTTTGGCGCCCCATATTGAAATCAGGAGTAAAAACGCGAAAACTAATCGATGAATATCTAAAAAAAGCATTATATTTTCGCAAATTTGGTAAATTGGCCAAGCCTCTGATGGTAGTTGGCGTCAATACTTGAATGGCGAATTCAGCCATGAAACCATTAATTTCTCGGCAACAACAAAAATTGCTTTTCTAAGGTTTTGATATGTTAAGCAGATGAGGAGGATTTTACTTTTGGCTGTTTCAAAAGTTCCGGGCCTTGATGCCCACATTTCTTTTTCTGGCTCTCAATAAGGCCGTTTCTGCATAAAATGGAGAATTTGTCAATTAAAAGAATGGGAACCGAAATTTGGATTTCAAAAAAACAATGCTGGAGATGTACACGGGACGCTACAATCCCTACAACACTACTAGTAAGGCGATATCTCAAATGGACGGGCGTATTTTTGGAAAAAGAAGTCAAGTTTGAACCAGGCCGACGAGGCGCGTGACGTCAAGATACCTCCTCTCGTCGCTTCGCTCCCTCAAGGCCGCGATGCGGAGAAGACGCGAGGCCGTTCCTTCTCCTTCTCGAAGAAACATCACGTCAAAGTTCCTGCCAAATGCGCCTCTTTTTTTTTTTGAAAAATACGGTCATCCGTTCGAGATATCGCTGTATGAGTGATGTTTTGGTGTCAGTTTGTAGCATCCCGTTGCACGCTTTTGCCGCGTGTTTTGGGGAATCCAGATTTCGGTTCAGTATCCCTTTAATGCGGGGGGGGGGGGGGGGGGGTGCAACGATTTTAAGATTAAAAGAATTTGCACCTCATCATTTTTACGTTGGTTATCGTGTCCCGGGGGATAGAGAAACTATCTTCTTCATTCAAGAATATTGCGATTCCGCTGCATTTAAGCAAAAGTCGAGCTTTTTCCCCACCTGCAGCCGCGGGTAGCAGCCGAAGGAACTACGGCGAAAAGATTACGTGACCTCGCTCGGTTCTAAGCAGCAGCATAACGCCCGCTATTGTCAGCAGAGAGAGGGAGAGGAAGCGTCCTCCGAGAAAGCACACGGGAAGCTACACGGCACCTCGAATTACGTCACCAGGAGGGGGACCAGGTGTGACCCCGAAGACTGGGAGTCAGTTGAGGGGCGCCAGAAATGCCAATATTTATCCTTTTTTTTTTTACGCAACAACTAGGACACGCAGGCGAGATCGGCTTTCTGTTCTTTACTTCAGAAGTGTCAGAAGGCAACTTCCACAAATTTTTGACCGAAGTCCGGAAACCCTTTAATTAAGACGCAAGAAAACCATGTTTTAAAATTTTACCGCGTGCCATTCATTTATTAGGTCTATTAGAACAAACGAAAAAAGGTGATTTAGCTAACACTTAACTCTAAGCTGACTAAAAAAAAATACACGAAATCTCATAAAGTATTTTTTTAGAGCTCATTATTGGACTTAAAATGGCGCCTTTAAATGTTTGTATTTTACTGAAAGATAGGGCATGTCATTAAGTAATTAGACGCCCACTTAAATTGGTGTTGTACGGAAGCGTTTTTCCACACTGTATTTTTTTTTCTGAACTACGCGGGTTTTATGAAAAATTCCAGAAATTTAAAGCATAATATAAACAAAAACAAAAACTTTTTTTCACGAAAAAAATGTTTTTTTTTTTAATTTGAGAAGCTTTTTTTTATTAAAAATAATCTTTTTTGTACATATATGTGATATGCAAAAATTGCCGTGTCTTTTTTGGCATGGAAGGACCCTGCGGCATCTGCGCTGTGCCCATAGGCCAACACGCTGTTAGCAAACAAGTCCCCGCTTGCCCACACACGGTGCAGGCACTGGCGATGCGCAGGAACCTGATTCGCGCGAGCTGTCAACGTGTCTACGCATGCGCCACGCCGACAGCAACGTCACCGCAGCGCCGTGACGTCAGAGACGGGAGTCGGTGTATATAGCGTCAATGAAGCGCTGCGATGTATACAGGACATATCGTATATTTTTCACACTGGTCATACATCATACAAAAGACAGTCTCCAAACACCAGTCACCGCGATATCCGTGGTTCGAGTGCCGCGCACCAAGTGTCGCTCTGAACTTGTTGCCATGCGGCATTCGAAGCGCGGACCTCGGAGTGAATCGTGTTCGAATCCGTTTGCCGGTTGCCCTTTGTATGATGTTTACACAGTGTGACACCGGCTTAAGGACCAGTACGTTTTGCAAACCTTAAAAAATCAAATTCCCGACGTACATACCCGAAATTTAACATCGAAATGCGCTGTTTCACAAAAAAAAAAAAAAAAAGCTTTTTTTTTTTTTAGTTTTTACTTTGGAGGGGGTGATATATTAAAAAAGTTTACAGGGTCTCTTTTCTTATTCCTAAGACGACTTGAAGGTGAAAGCCCAAGTGCCAATGTAAACGTGATAGCGATCTTCCGAAAACAGCGCACTCTCTAATGACGTACTTTTGGCGCCTTTTCGTTGCTACCTTTCGTCTCGCGACCAGTTTTCGTACTTTTCGTGTCGCCGACGTGTTTTCGCTCAAGGACTTTGAAGGTCGACTGAACGATGAGACATACAAGGCTTTCGCCTGAACAAAGCAAAAGGGCTGCCGTGCATTTTCAATTACAATACCAGCCTGTTCGTCATCCGCTCAATGGTTGGCGAGCTCGTTTCCCGCCGCTTAGTGAATGCTAAAATGCTTAGGACCCATAGTAGAGGCCGCCGACGAGCAGGATAATAGCCGTAAGAAATAAATTTAACGAAAGATACGAACGATGACCACCTGGGAGCAAGCTCCCAATCCAGTGGGAAGATGACGATTATCCGGTATGACTTCAAAATATGCAAAGCCCTCGTTTTTCCTCTATTTTTGATACTTCAACACCCCTGAGCTGACCTTTCAAAAAATAAACGAAGCTTTATCCGAACCGAACCACGTCTTGCAAATTCCAGGTATGTACGTTTGGAATTAGGGATGCCGCGAACCACCCGAGGTTCGATATAAAAAGGTTTCGTTATTTTCGAACCGAACTGATGTTCGAATTCGAAAGGTTTCGATATTTTCGACCGTACGGAGATTCGAATTCGAAAAATTCGCAACTTTCCAAAATCATAGAGTTTTGAATTCGAAAAGTTTGAAGCTTTCACGGTTTCTAAAAGTTCGGGTTCAATTATTTCGAATATTGTTTTTACTTCAGGTTCGAGAAATCCGAAGATTTCGAACTTTCATAACTTGAAAATCGAGAGATTCGAATGTTTCTAATTTCTTTGGATCTGAAATTCGAAAAATTCGAACGTTTCGAATTCTTATAGACATAAAGTTCGATAAATTCGAAGATTTCGATTTCTTTCTACATTAAGTTCGAAAACTTCGAAGGTTTCGATTCTCTTTTAGCGCTAAATTCCAAAAGAAAAAAAACTTAGGTTTCGAATTTCTTTCAAGTCCAAGTGAGCAAAGTTCGAAGTCCGGTTTTCATGTTCCGCCACAGTTTCAGTTTCAAATAAAGGCCCGTTCACACTCTTGCGACCCAGTAAGACCGAGAGAGACCAGACCGGTTTTTAAGCCTCTTGCGATCTCTTGGGACCAGCTCCGCTGCAGCGCATCCAATCCTAAGAAATCGCCAAAGGCTTAAAAACCGGTCTGGTCTCTTTCGGTCCTACTCGGTCCCAAGAGTGTGAACGGCGCTTAACGTTTTGACGCCTCACTGGTTCTCACGAAATCAGGTTTAGAAATGTTCGGGTGTGATATTTAGACTGCGCGAAGTTGGTCAGGCAATTAAATGGGACGACGAGTGTCCCGGATGTGCTGGATTATTTGCCAGTGTAGAGTGACGTGTGCAGATCAGTAATTGTGACCGCCAGCCCGAGGGGGTGGGGAGGGGGTCTTTAACGTGCATCACGCCGTAGTGATCACACGAACGCACTGTTTAACAATACTCATCCAGTTCGAAACGACCAGGGGCAGGCAGGTGGTTGAGGCTCAGAAAAACCTTGAAGCGATCTGGCAAACTGCCTCCCTGCCCCCCTGCACGCTGGTAGTAATCCACTCGAACGCCGCCCGAGTGACGCTGGCATATAGTAAGTTTAGTTTGTACATGATGCAAAATCCTGATACTGGGAATGAAATTTGAAAGAAAAAGTGTAAGAAGACAGAAAAAAGGGGACAGGACAACGTCTCAAACTCAGCTCACGACAACGTCTCAAACTCAACTCAGCTGAAAACTCAGCTCAGGACAACGTCTCAAACTCAACTCAGCTGAGTTTGAGACTTTGTCCTGTCCCCTTTTCTCTTTCTTCTTACACTATTTCTTTGGAATTTCATTCCCAGTCTCGGGATTTGGCATCATGATCAACAAACACCAGCTCGCCTGCACATTGACAATTCTTTAGTTTGTAATTGCTTTGGAGGTTTATTTTCCGAGACGGAAGAAACGCCGAGCAAAAATCACAGAAGCTGACACAACTTGAGGTCGACGAGCGTTCTACCATACCAGTAGCGTCGGAAGAGGAAAAAAGGGGGGGAAGGGCGGGGGGGGGGGGGGGGGGGGGGAGGGCTCCAGTCTTTCTCTCCCCCTCCCCCCCACTGATATTTCGGACTGTTAAAGAAAACAATACGGGGAAAGAGGGCATGGTCGAGCTTATTTTAATCTGAAATTATTTATGCGTATGTATAGCTACTGTCGCTCTTCACTGCATAAAAGATCGCGTAGACGGTCATTGTTAGAAACTCGTTGTCACAAGGCGCTACTCGTCACATGCTCGGTGGTTCAGAAGTTCAAAGATATGTCTTTTCGACCTAAATAACTGTGACATTGGTAAAAAATAATAAATAAATAAACATAACAATAAAAAAAATAAAAAGCTGGAGAAAAAAAAACTATCAAGAATCCACCGGAAGTGTTGTATTCTTGCATTTTCACAGGCCCAGAACTACGAAACAAGTTTCTTCTACCAAAATGTGTACAGGCTAAAAGAAACATGTCCCAAAAACGTGAAATTAAAAAATAATATATATATATATATATATATATATATATATATATATATATATATATATATGTTTATTTATTTATTTATTTATGACGTGCCGAGTTTGAACAATATTAGAAATTTTTTTCCCTGAGTTAATTTATTCCTCAAAAATTACGAATGAACCTCACAGCTTGAATCCAAACGAAACCGCCCGCCCGCCTTTCGAAGTTCGACGAACTTCAAACTTTTACCCTAAAAGTTCGAAGTACGTCGAACTTTTGACTTTTCAGGAATCGGAAGGTCGACAATTTTCGAATTTTTTAGGTTAATAAGTTCGAAAGTTAGAAAATTATCGCATTTCTTAGCGTAGGAAGTTCGAAAGTTCGAAAAGCTTCGAACATTTTAGTGCAAGAAAATCGAAAGTTCGCAAATCATCGAATTTTTTTAGTCTATCAAGGTCGAAAGTTCGACAAGCATCGAATTTTGCAGCGTAATGAGTTCGAAATTTCGAAAGGCGTCGAACTTCTTAGTTTAAGAAGGTCAAAAATTCGACTTCCGTCGAATTTCTTGATATGGAAAGTTCGAAAATTCGAAATCTTTTGAACCTTTCGAACCACTTGGTTCGATTATCGAACTTTCGGTTCGAAAAAAGTTCACAGCATCCCTATTTGGAATTCAAATTTTGCAAGGCGTGCCAACATGCTGGTATGTGTGTGTGTGCGCGCGTGTGTGTGTGCGCGCGTGCGTGTTTGCGTGTGCGCGCGCGTGTGAATGTGTGCGTGTGCGCGCGCGCGCGCGTGTGTGTGTGTGTGTGTGTGCGCGTGTGTGTGTGTGTGTGCGAGTGTGTGTGTGCATGCGTGCGTGTGTGTGAGTATTTACTTTCTTGTGTACATTGCGATGTTTTTCTGTGATATTTTTCCTCGGAGTAGGGGGTTTCTATTAACGAAGTGTCTAGCGTTACGTCCGACGTAACCCAAGTTACTTCCAAATTAGGTTAGGTTAGGTCAGATACTAACTTGGTTTGAGTGTTTTCTTACAAATCGTTGTCAGTTTGTTCATGTAAATAACTCTAATTCTTCAGTGTCTTCTGTTACTTATGGCGCCCCTCAAGGCTCCGTTCTCGGTCCTTTGTTATTCCTCATATACATCAATGACTTGCCGTTGTGTGTCTCATCATCGCTTAGTTTATTCGCGGATGACTGCATTCTTTATCGTAAGATTACTAATGATTCTGACTCTCTCCTTCTTCAAAACGACTTAAATGCTGTTCTTGATTGGTGCAAGCTGTGGTCCATGACACTTAATACTAAAAAATGTAAAACAATGAAAGTGTTTCGCCGTAACACTACGCCTTTTATCTATCATCTTGATAACATTTCTTTAGAATGTGTGACTTCATATGAATACCTCGGTGTGCATATTACTTCTAACCTGTCCTGGCATATTCATATTAACCACATCATTGCTAATGCCAATTCTATGTTAGCCTACCTAAAACGTAACTTTTCTCTAGCGCCAGTTTCTCTCAAACTAATATTATTCAAATCTTTGGTTCGCTCAAAATCAGAGTATGCAGCTTCAATCTGGGATCCTGGTCAGACGCTCACTTCTCATCTCGAGTCAGTTCAGAACCGCGGCGCTCGTTTCATACTTAACAATTATCCCCGTACAGCTAGTGTATCATCAATGAAATCTCTTATCTCCTTGCCACTGCTTTCTTTGCGCCGTAAGTGTTCTCGTCTATGTCTTTTCTATAAAATATATAATTCTAACCCCATTCTTAAAGAAAAGCTCTTCCCCGTCCCACCATACGTTTCTCCACGCGTTGATCATCAGTACAAAATCGGCATTCCTCATTCTCGAACCTCAGCCTATCACGATTCTTTCATTCCTAGGACATCATCAGAGTGGAACCACCTTCCGGCGTCATTAATATTATTACCCTCGTTAGATGTGTCTAAAAGTGCTGTTACTAATTATTTTTGCGAAAGTGACCCGTGACCTATTCCATGTCTTCTATTACTGTTTTTTGTTGTTTTTTTCACTCACTCCCCTCTGTAACGCCCCCAGGGCCTTGAGGGTATGTAAATAAATAAATAAATAAATAAATAAATCTCCGCCTTCCCTAGGTTCACGGGGGAGAGAGAGGAGGTCGGGGGGGATGGTTAGGTATACGCGTTTCAGTGCTCCGTCCGGACGTAACGCTAGCCACAGCGTTCTATTAATCCCCCCATATTTTAAAACGTTATCCGCTCGCAAACATTCCCGCTCCCAGGGAGACTCCGGAGGACCGCTGCAGTGCGCTAGAGAAGACGGCCACTACGTTCTCGCCGGAGCGACGTCCTGGGGCACGACGTGCGCGGCGCCCAAGCAGCCGGCCGTCTTCTCCAGAATGTCGACCCAAGTGGACTGGATCCGGACGGTCACTCGGACCGGGCAACAGTAGCGGAGCCCGCCTCGAGAAGCCGGCACGATGCACGCAATAAACGAGACGTTGTCCGAGACTTCGCAACCTCTAGCAAACTTCAGACCTGATCATTCCTAGAAAGACGAAATATTAAAGCATAAAATGCATTTTAACCCCCCCCCCCCCCCAAAAAAAAAAAAAAAAAAAAAAAAAACAGAAAAAAATAAATTCCCAAACTTTTCTGCGTTTGACCGTCCGTGCACTTCCCGATACTTTTAGCAGAATAATTGATGTGACGTGACCTGTACATTAATTCAGTGTACCCGCTACCGCTAAATCTAGCGGGGAAGATGAGGTCACCTGACCTCAAGTCATGTCCTTTAAACAGATTCGGCTTCCCCTCTAAACTTAAGGTGTAAATTAGCCTCACGCGACCTACGCACTACTTCACTTTACCCCCTAAATTTAGCGAGAAAAATCGATGCCACACGACCTGACGTCACGTGACCAATGCACCGATTCAGTTTCCTCATTAAATTGATAAAATATAGGTAGTGCTTCCCTACCCCGAAACGACCGTTTAATGTCTTCTGAACAGATATAAACGATTGCTCCTTAGATGCTGCATTTCGTATACTCGAGAGACATTGGAGATAAACGTTGCTGCCGATTTCTCGTTAAAACCATTTCACTTTCAATGCAGATTGTTGGGCTAGTTGGTACTGGGAATTTGACGTCACGATGGTGCTTAAGACGAGGACAAAAGGGAGACTAGACAACACGGAGCGCTTTGTATTTTCTAGTCCCCCTTTTGTCCTCGTCTTAAGCGCCATCATGACGTCACATTTCCCTTTGTTTCCGTATTTCCCTAAGCAGCACGCTGTATCTTGTCGTGTTTCTCGTATTTACTCGTTTTAATGCGCACTAATTCGGTGCTTCGCAACCCTTAAGCCGCTTTCACACAGCTAATAGATCACGAAAAAAAAAATACAGTCTGCGGGACACTAGGTAGTTATCGGGAACCTTTTTTGCGCATCCGGTACGATGGGCCTTCCGGTAGGGACTGCGCATATCCGAGTCTTCATTGGTAGTGAATGCGCTGTTCGTATACCGGAGGGCCCATCGTACCATATCGGATGTGCAAAGAAGGTTCCTTGAAACTCCCTACTGTTCCCTAAGACAGTTCCCTAAGACGATTCCCTAGAACTCCCTACGCTCCCTACTGAAGCTGCTTCCTTCCCTGTATGGCGGCCTATCGCGCAAAAACAGTCTGCAGCTATATTCGATGATTGCGTACTTATGCAGCAAACATTCTTCGAAGATAGGCTTTGAGTCGTGTCAACACTAAAATCATGTTATCATGTCTCCAGTGCACACCGTGTTGTTGTTGTTGTTGTTGTTCAATGATGCATGATTAGTGTTAATGCGGCTTAGTCTTGCCGTGCCTACCACGGTGTTCATGCACTCCGTTGCGTGTTGAAAATACCAGAGCAAGGTCCTCGCTCAAAGCCCTCCACGCTTTCCTCTTTAGCACGGTGAACGCTGGAAAGGAGATGAGTGGAGAGGAGGAGACCACCAATCGTGGCAGTCATAGAGCTTCGTGGGACGACCTGCTCCGCTTTTCGTAACCTGCCACATACATAGTCATTAACAGCGTAGCGAGCGCGGAGAATATTATAATACGTTCCGTAGCCCATGATGTCGCCGCATCATCCAAGTAAGAATTACAACAACAACAAAAAAAAAAAATCACGAAGCAAGAAGTTTGAAGATAATAAGCCGCACGCTTGCGTGGAGTGCTATCTACGAGTAACGAAGTTGCGGATGGGCGAAAGCTGTGAAACCCTGACCACACGACCGTGATCATGCTTCTCAAATATACAAACTCATATGGTGAGAAGTTAGTTTGTGAAGTATGGCGACTTGTGCCTTTATTGGCACCGGGAAGGGTTTCTGAGCGCGCCGCCGTCGATTGACCACCAGCGCCACCATGGACAAATGAAGCAATACTGGGAAGGCTAGAATCGACAGCGCAGCCGGCGTATACGCTTCCGAGATGCCGTTTTTTGTTATCAAATCCGAGCGCTGTGTTGTCGTACAATTGTTTTTTTTTTTTTTTATGCATAAAACGCCAAATTTATTAGTGTGTATGTGCGTGTGTGTTGTTGTATGGTTCTATAGCATTAGGGAGCTTTAGTAGATGCCTTTTTCGATATATTAAGACAACCTAAAATGGGAACTATTAGAACGAAATTTAACTTTCAAATATTACGGCTCCATTTAAGTGAAATCAAGAGGGCAAGGGCATTTTTCTACGTTGTTTGTGCGCGCTTGAAACGCACAAAACTGAAAATTTTATCTCGGTGTCTACTCTGCAAAAGCAGAGCTAAAAGCGCCCCTTCCCCTCGCCCTCTAACTGCTCTTACCATCTTTTGTTTTTCAAGTGGACTCTTACCGCGCGAACAGCTGAGCTTATTTTTGAGATCAGCTTGTTTCCCGTCTCTTCTTCGCTGTGGTGAGGACGACAGTGGCGTCGGAGAAATTTGTTTTTTGTGCAATTCGGCAGTAGTTTGGACGGTGTCGGACGCAGTTGCTCGTCGCAAGGAGGCACTCGTTCTCCTCGATTCTATATGCTGTTATGTTTCGCATAGAACTCAAATAAACGCCGCATAGATGTCGTGTGGTACGTACAGTTATTTTCTTGAGTAGACCGTTTTCTCGCAACGCGGAAGAAGCTAGAGCAGTATACACACGGGTCTAAATAGCGCAGCCGTCTTGGGCAGCTACGCGATCACGTTAAGGACGCAAACGACAGTCCGCTCTACGATGGCGAAGAGAAGAAAACGGTCACTCCGGTTACACTCCCCTTAGCGAAAACTAATACGTTTGAAATATACCACATTCTAATTTGAGTGTATTTGAAATACAATTCCTAATTGTAAGTACACAAAAAATATACCGAAAATATAAACTTCTTTTTTTGTTACTTAGTACTAAAATATACTTCTAAAAATCATTTTAAAATACCTTTACTTAAACTACATTTGAAGTTCCCTTCATGCGTTTTGAAATATGTAAATACTAAATTAATAGGCACAAAATACCTTTCACATATATTTCTTGAAATATTTATTTAATTCATGCAAAATATACTCCAACCCTAAAAAAATGGAGCAATCAAGAATATGTGCAGAATACTCTTAAAATACCTGAAAATCGTAAATACTGTTGTGTTATACTCTAAGTACCTTTTGACTGCAATACTTTGGTAGTTTGACTTAAACTACCAAATATTTAAAAGCTCCCCTTCTGAAGTTCACTTCAAGCAGATATGGAGTACACTGAAGCGCCTAAATAGATTTGATTAGTTTGGCAATTGAATTGCGCAGCATCGCACTGATAAATCAGCCCAGTTTATGTTATTGTTTCCTTTTTTCTATCAAGAGCACACCTGATCAGTTCCTTGCACATCAATCACAAACGGGCTTCGGGAACTACAACCACAACATTTGCTGATGCTGGAAAGCTTCAGCAAGTGCTGTGAACAGATACGTTTGGCGTGGTTTTGTTAGCACAATGTTAGTTCACTGAACGTGTATACTCACCATTGTACGTGATGTGAATAGTGACTTTAATACAGTGACATTAACTACCATATTAAATAGTCAACTACTAAAAAGGAAAGGCAAAACAACTACTGTAAAATATTTATTTTTCGCGGGCTCAATATTTCGCGATTTAGGTCAAAGTTGGAGTTTTGGAATAATTCGCAAATTCTAATTTTCGCGACGCGCTGGAATCGCAATATAGATTTTAATGTTTTTACATTTTGCCGGTATTGTTCACGGGACCTATTTTTCGAAATTGTAGGCGATTCGCCAACTTTGCGAGAATTAGGTCCTCACGAAAATAAAGTCGTTTACAGTATTTTAAAGTGAAGAAACTGCCTTGATTCGCTTCGCCCTGAGTGGTGCTACGCAGAGAAGCAATAACATGTATTTTATGAGCCGTTTGTGTGGATATTGTTTTAGGGACTGTGCCGAATTGTTATTAGTTGTACCAATGCCTTTTAGTAAGAGATATCGTCCACGAACTTCAAAACACTGTTTCCCCCTTGACAGACTCCCGAGGAGATGATCGTATACTTGTAACCTTAATAAGCGCAGAGGTGGTCACCGAAAAAAATTATTACCTTCAATATGTAGGCTATATAAGGCTCTAGAGCAGTCAACGGGACTGTGAATTAGCTCTTCAGTGCGTAATGGTGTTTGTGTTCGTTTCTACTGTGGCTTTGTGAGATGTATTTAGTAGTGCCTTCAAATACCACAGGGACACCATTTCCTGACAAAATCGAAAATAAAAAAAAAAAATGTGCAACCGGTTTTTAATTTACAAATGGCATCTTGAGTGTGAAGGAATAATATTTTTGGTATATCTAAAATATTTTTGATTCATATTTATAATGTATTTTGAATACATTACGCGCGTATTTCGAATGCGGCCAAAATAATACAGAATAAATACAAAATGAATATTCGTATTAAATATATTTCAACTTCGTTTGAAATACGGCCTCTTTTTGCTAAGGGTCCCAACCAGGGCAACTGCGATCTCTCTATAATGCAGGACGGGTAAACGAGAACGGTTTACTAAAACTCTCTATTAGAACGACTGTCCACAAAGCGCCTTTCCAACAAGATATGTCCGCGGAACAGAGAGTATTGAGGATATCAAGAGATTGATCTGACTCTAGGGAGTCATAGTGTCGAACCCAAATAACACGTCGCGCTTCGAGCGCGTTATTTCCAAGTATTGAGTAAAATAGTGCATTGAAAAATTTGTCTCGAGTTAGGAACAGTAAACGGAATGATTATTTTACACGTCTTACGACATTTATTTATCTCTGACGGTGCTGTATTTCCCACGGGCTCGACGGGAACCTGCGGAGCTTCACGTCTGCCATAGGCTTTGGGGGTCGCGACAGTTCGGTACGCAACAGTGCTTACAGCTTTGACGTTTGCTCTTCTTCGGGGGCATCG